ACCCACCTCGGAAGGATGGAAGGCTGAGTCAACCTTGAGGCGGTGAGATTAGAACCGCTGAACTGGAGATAACAGTCAGCTGAAGTGGCCTGCAGTACTGCACCCTAATCACTGCGCCACCTCGGCTCTCTTAACCCAAGACAAACTATGGACAATAAAAAAAGGAAGCATTGGACAAACACCAAGAATAGAGAGGAGGCAGAGGAGCTGAGTAGCAATATGGTAGTGAGAATCTGGCATAGCAGCATTAAATTGATGTCATCCATGACCCAGCTGCTGTTTCACCATCTTATCTTAGTAATTTTAGTTTCTGCTCATAATAATCCTTGGAAGGTAGGTAAGCATAGACCTTTCAAGTATTCTTTCAGTTGCTGGCATCCTTAGTAAAAAGTTTTTCCACACATGTTGACACAATATTTATATTGGCTTAATAGTCATTCCTTATCCCAAGGGAATTGCAATGTTTTAAATGGGGAAGGGAAGGCAATTCTAACAAATTTTTAGTCTCACCACTAAAATACAGTCCTGCAGGATTATATCACCATTAAAATGATGCGGATTTAACACATATTTGTAGTGTCAAGTTGCCTTCAGTGCAGAGAACCCCTTTGCTAGGATATTTGCAACAAAGTGGAGAAACACTGATAACACTTGGGCAGCACTGCCTTATGTCCAGTGGCTGGAATCAGGCGGAAATTATATTTAGGATTAATGGTTCCTATCCCATCTCTTCAGCCTTCTCCTAGATCAAGCTGAGATGGCAAAGGATGACAATTAGCAAGATCCGCAAATGTGGCCTGGCATTGGGCAGCTCTAAGTCAACTTTTCATTGACTCTCTTTTCCTTCCTTTTGGCCTTCTCTGCAGATCCGCGTAGTGAAAGCGTTCCGTAGTTCACTCTATGAAGGGCTGGAGAAGCAAGACACCAAGACCTCCATCCATAATTTCATGACAACGCCTGAGTTCTTGATCAACGACTACATCCACAACATTCCTCTCATTGACGATACAGACGTGGAGGAGAGCGAGGGTCCCCTAAGACAGCACTTCAGGGCCAGTCCCCCACCATCTCCCAACAAGAACAACAATGCCATCGACAGTGGCATCTACCTTAGCACCGATGTCAGCAAGACACCTACCTCCTCATGCAGCCCAGTTAGCCCACTCCACAGCATGGAAACCTCCCTCTAACACAACCCTACCATGCAACCAGTTGAATTGACTTTGTTCACAACAAGAGGTGTCCAGTTCCTCCCGGGAGGTAGGCTAGCTAAGGAAGGATGGGAAGCCGACAGGAGATGACACTTCACCTCTTGGACTCAATGGAGTTGGAAAGGACAAGGTTTTCTGCCATTGGATGGCTCAGGCAACCAGAGACATGCTGACTTGATGCAAGGAAAGCAAATCGTAGAGGGGGAGAAACGTTTTCTTCAATCACGCGAGAGCATTGGGCTGAGCCCAGGGAGTGTACAGGAAAACCACCCATTTCTCTAATCTGTTCTTTGGGGTGCTTTTGGACACAACCACACTCACCAAACCCACAAATGATTCTGCAATTGTGGGGGGGTTGCTTTGATTTTTTCTTGTGGGACCTCTTTTTTCTCCTCTCCCCCCCGGCCCCAATGTTTAAAAAAAGAAACTATATTTGCACCAGAAAAAGGAAGAAAAACAAAAAAAAGGAAAAAAAGAGGAATAATCTAGACAACTATTATCCTAAAATATATATACATATATATATACATATATATATGATACCAACCGACAGATGTATTAACGGATTTTCTGATCATAACGCATGCCTGTTATCAAACTCTCCTTTCTTCTTCCCCCTCCCCCAATGGAATTTCAGTCTGGGGCAATTTTGCTTTTTTTTAAAGAAAAAAGAAAAAAAAATACTTTCCTTTCTTTGCTGGAGCTTGTATTTTATATCAGGATTTGCCAGGAAAAAGAAAAAAAAAGATTCCCTTCTATTAGGAGGGGAATTGACTGTGGAACAATGAGTAACCAAAATGTTGATGATGATTATTTTTGTTGGATAGTGCAGATATAGTGTGACTGAAAGTAGGATGTGATTGCAGTGACACAAATTTGGGCTTTTTCAGCAATTTCACAAAAAAAGTGACCAAAAGTGGGGTCCCATTTGAGGGGGGCATTTCTCTTCCTCCCCCCCCCTCCCCTCCACCAGTGCTCACAATCCATATGCTTCCTTTAGGTAGTGATTTTACCAAACATCCAATAACTGAACAATACAGAGAATTTAGGGTGGGAAAAGAAGATAAAGTTTATACTTTGTAAGAAAGAACAGAACATCTTTCCTGTTGCGTAAGATCACTAAATTAGAGCATGCATTATTTGACAGATTTGTCAGAAAATTATATATCTGAGAATCATTTAATTTTCAAAGCACCAACTACCACCGCAAAGATTTCCTACCCTCATGGTTGTGAGTAAACCTAGAAAAATATACATGCAGTGATTGCACAAGACTGCATGGCCGATAATGGCTATTCACCTCCACACTGCGGCTTGAATTTACCACTTTAAAATTACTTTTGTATGCTATCTTATTCCAGAGACTAGTTGAGTTACGATGACTTCGAAATGCCCACTTTGCACTGATTGGGAGGATATTTCTCTTCGGGCAGTATGTGCTAATTCTGAGATTCCAAATGGATTCCAAACTTTCATGACAAAACTTGCCTTGGGTCTAGTTCTTTGCACATGAGGAACTGAGCTCAGCCTTAGCAATTCTCTCAATAAGCAAATTCAAACTGCATCTTGGACGGGGGGGGAGGGAACCCCGCCAATAAGACAAAATACAAGAGTCAATGTACACCGAGGGTTTGGAGGAACATTATGGAAAACAGATGTAGTAATCCATAGGCAACACTGAAATGAGCTTGAAATTTCCAGTGCCAATACTAATTTGTGGGAAAGTGCATATTATGAGTCCTTTATATCTCCTGTATCAAATACTCAAGAGAACAGAAATAGTTCCTGAAAATTCTTGACTTTTATATTATACTAATCCTCCGAGTAGACTAACATTTCACTTATATCCTCTCAGAAGCTCTAAGTAGGCTGCTATGGATTGTTTTGTGTTAACTTTACAATAAAGTTTAAAGTTTTACAAGAGCCGAGGTGGCGCAGTGGTTAAATGCAGCACTGCAGGCTACTTCAGCTGACTGCAGTTCTGCAGTTCGGCTGTTCAAATCTCACC